ATATTCTATTGTTCCAAGATAATTCTTTTGACTAAGTTTCATGAAATGCATTTATTTGAAATTGCATTTTTTAGCATTCTATTTTCTTCATTTGAAGCCCAATACTAACGTTCGCTCTTCACCAATAACAAAACAATTTGCTAGAATACATTCAGATCACGAAAACTTCTGAGGACAGGCTTTACTCTGAATTAGGAGCTAAGATGGATTTCGATATGTCAGCATAGACATTAGCAAAGATATTAGTTTTGTGCTTAAAAGTGAATATTATTAGCAGAATGCTATTAAAAAAAATCTTAGTGGAAAAAAAACAACCAGAAGAAAAAAAACAAAACATTTTAATACAGTATATATATTCTCTTCAAAAAAATTAAACAATAGTGTGACAAAAAATTAAATGTAAAAAATAGAAATGCAAATTTCTTTAGAAAATACTGTGCGAAATAAGTAAAGTTACTATCAAAAGCTTTATTTGCTTAACATTTTCTTTATTTTTAATTTCTTATTTCTAAAACATGTTACTTCCTTGAAAGAATAATGGAATATAATTCTCTCCATACATTTTTGGACCAGTTCTTCTATTTCCATAAAATACTCTAGTATGGTGCATTACAATGATGTTCACATGTCATTAAGAGATAAACCAACAATTATGCTAGTTTCCAAAGAAAGCTGTCAACAAAATTCTGCCAGATAAAGCTATGACACTTCATTTAAATCTTTGGGCACAAAAAAGAAATACAGACAGAAGCAGAAAGTTGCAAGCACCAGCAGAATCCTCAATTACTGCAGCATCCAGGAATCATCCATCCTACTGCATGAGCAGTAATTTAAAGTGGCATTAGAGTTCCTGTGCTTCTTCGAAGCTGCAAACTTTTGATGCTCTGGGGAGGCCACAGAGACGACACAGCCTTGGGTTATAAAGTTTCTAACTGAGATAGGAGGGCGACAGGGCAAACCAAAACTACCCAAGAAGACTGGGAGAGTTGGAACACCAAATCTAGTTTATTTTCAGGCTCTATTACCACAAAATGACTTTAAGAGTCCTGGGTGCATTACCCTGGGGAAACAGGCTGAGACAATTTAAGGAGGTGGTCTGTTTTTCAGATTGGAAGCCAAACCTCATGAGTGAATATGTTTACCACTGAAGCAATCACAGGTTAGAGGCCAAGTGGTGCAGAAAAGAATAACATAGCGATTTTATTCACCCTGGACTGGGATATAACCACACTGTTTTTCAATACAGAGTAGTTGGTAATAGAAACAGAAAGTATTGCAATTGTTCGTCTAGA